AAGATCGCTCTGACAAAGCTCTAATCTTGATATGACGCACTGCTGCCTCTCCTACGCGGAAAAAGGCAAAGCTGTAGAAACAAGGCCAGACCCACCGGCTAAGATCCGAGTCAGAATTCCGGAATTTGACAACTCGGACCTGATAAGAGCAAACGAGTTAACACTCATTGGGAGGCTTACAAACTCCCGGGAGCAACGAGTGTGGGCTATGATATCTTTCTTTGCAAAAAAGTGGAAAGGTAAAGGGAATGTGGTTGGCTCTAACCTAGGGAACGGCTGCTTCCAGTTTCATTTTTTGAGCGATGAGGATTTGCTTCAGGTGCTGGCTAATAGACCCTACCACTTCGCGTACTAAATGATTATCCTACAGAAGTGGGAGCCTACTGTCTCAGAGCGTTTTCCATGCCCAATCCCCTTCTGGATCCGAGTTAAAGGCATCCTGCTACACTACTGGAAAGAGACAACACTTCTGTACCTTGGAGAAGAAATATGCTCTTACTTAGAACAAGATCTCACTACTATGGAAGCAAGAGTAAAGGTCTCATTCGATGGCCTCGAACCCCTCCCCCGGGAATCAACTCTCGTATTCTCTAATGGTGATGAAGCTCTAGTATCACTGGAATACGAAAGGTTGGGAAACCACTGCTCCAGATGTTTCAAACTCATGCACCAAATCAAGGACTGCCCTGAAAGAAGTACACTTGAGGCCTCAGCAAACAGACACTTAGCTTCGGAAAGAGAAAGGAAAGAGCCCTCCAATGTTCTTTCTCTAGTTTCTTTTAGCCCGCAACATCTTCCTGGAAGCAGCCCCTGTGTTCGTTTGATGAATACCATCAGGGCATCCCCAAAAAGATCAAAAAATACTACCTCTCGGATCGCTACTGGTGGCTCATCACAAGCAAAAAGAGGGGAAAATGTTGCAGGGACAGACTATACTACACAACCCGCTCCCAAGACTCAAATCATCCCGAGGATCACAAAGCTGAAAACAAAAAGGGGAGGAGGATTTGCACAATCCTCAAACTCTTCTTCCTTAAGCATTTTGAGCTAGAACTGTTGTGGGTTGAGGAATACTACGACAGTCAAGAGAATAAAGGAGTTGCACAGGAAAGCATCACCTTGCATTTTATTCCTCATGGAGATGAAGAATACGGAGCAATTCGTCCTAAAGAAGCTACAGCCGCTGGGTTTTGAAAATCATATGTTGGTATCACCACACGGACAAGGAGGAGGTATGGCCCTTCTCTGGCACAGTGATGTTGATATCTCAATCTTGTCCACGGGACACAACTTCATCGACATTGAAATAAAGTTCAAGAATGAGAATTTTCAGGCAACCTTTGTCTATGGGGAACCAGATAAATCAAAAAGAAAAGAGGTCTGGGAACTTATCTCAAACCTGACTCCTCCACAAGGGAAGCCGTGGTTCTTGACAGGGGATTTCAACGAGATTATCAATAACTCGGAAAAAAGAGGAGGAACAGAGAGAGCAGAAGGCTCATTCATTGACTTTTGTACCTTCATGTCTGCTTGCGATCTCTATGATCTAAAACACTCCGGGAACTTCTTATCATGGAGGGGAAACCGCCAGTCAGGCAGGGTCTATTGCCGATTTGATCGGGCTATGGCAAATAGCTTCTGGTCGGATCTCTTCCCATCAAGCAGAAGCCAGTACCTCCGGTTTGAAGGCTCTGACCATCGCCCTCTTCTCTCTGTTCTAGACCCTACAAAGAGAAAAAAGGAGGCTTATTCCGTTATGACAGGCGACTCAGAAACAATGTAGAAGTAAAAAAACTCATAGAGGAGGCCTGGGGAGAAAAACCAAACCTGAAAGTGGAACTCTGCAACGCTAACTGCCGGACAGCAATATCGAAAGGGAACAGTGAAAAACATGTCAATAGTCAAAAGGAGATAGAAACTCTAAAATCAAAGCTATAAATAGCAATGAATAACCCGGAGACTGCTGAGTCTGACATCCAAGCTCTATCCTCCAATCTTAACGCCGCCCATAGAGAGGAAGAGGAATACTGGAAACAACGTAGTAGACAACTCTGGCTATCCTTGGGGGATAGAAACACGGGCTTCTTCCATGTTTCCACAAAGAGTAGAAGAGTTAGAAATCGTTTCTCAGTCATTGAGGACTCGGATGGTACAGTTTTCTACGAAGAGGAGCACATTACAGCAGTTATCTCAGACTATTTTGAAAAGCTTTTTGCCTTCAAACCATCAGACTGCACAGATACAGTCTTCCAAGCAATTTGGAGTAAAATCAGTGTGGAGACAAATGCAAAACTTACGGCATTACCAAGCGCAGAGGAAATTAAACTTGCTATGTTCTTGATCCACCCTGACGGCTTCTCGGCGAGCTTCTTCCACTCAAATTGGAACACAGTTGGACCAGCCATAGTAAAGGAGATCCTAGGCTTCTTCTTCGGGGCCCCCTTGGCAAGATCAATAAACAACATACATATTCGATTAATCCCCAAGATCAAGGCACCTAAGACTACTGCGGACTACAGACCTATAGCTCTCTGTAATGTTTACTACAAGACTATGTCAAAGGTGCTTATCAGACGCCTACAACCTTTCCTCGACGAGCTGATCTCCGAAAACCAATCGGCTTTTGTCCCAGGCAAAGCAACTGCTGACAATGTGCTCATCACCCATGAAGTCCTTCATTTCCTCAAAGCTTCAAAAGCTACAAAATATGTGTCAGTGACAATGAAAACTGATATGAGCAAAGCATACGATAGACTACAATGGAGTTTCATTGAAAAAGTTCTCATCAAATTTGGTTTGATCCTATTTGGGTGGGATGGACAATGCAATCCATCTCGACAGTGAGTTACTCCTTTCTAATATAAGGAGCAGCTCAATGAGCAGTTACCCCCTCGAGAGGAATTCGCCAGGAAGACCCTCTCTCGCCGTATTTATTCATCTTATGCAGTGAAGTTCTCACTGAACTTTGCCTCAATGCACAAAGAAGTGGGAAATTACCTGGCATCAAAGTTGCTACGGGAAGCCCTCGAGTAAACCATCTGCTATTCGCAGACGACACTATGTTTTTATGCAAAGCTAGCCACCGTAGCTATGTAGCCCTGAAATCGATCTTGCAACAATATTAAAAGGCGTCAGGGCAACTGATAACTGGCGCTAAATCAACAGTAACTTTTGCTTCCAAAACACCTCTTGAGGTTAGGAACAGAGTAAAGTATTACCTTGGTATTGCGAAAGAGGGCGGCTTAGGAAAGTATCTAGGTCTCCCAGAGCACTTTAGAAGACAAAAAAGGATATCTTTACCTCTGTTATTGATCGTATCAGACAACGAGGGCAAAGCTGGGCCTCCAAGCTACTCTCGGGAGCGGGAAAACTAACACTCCTCAAATCCGTACTAACAGCAATGCCTACTTACTCAATGTTTTGCTTCAAGCTCCCTGTTAGTATGTGTAAGCGGATATAATCAGCACTCATAAGATTTTTCTGGGATGCAAATCTAGAGAAAAAGAAGATATCATGGGTCTCGTGGAAAACGCTTACGTAACCAATGAACGAAGGCGGTCCGGGGATGAAAGAGATTGAATGCTTCAACGATGCTCTCCTTGCAAAGCTGAGCTGGAGACTCGTAGCTAATCCTACCTCACTCCTGGCTCGGATTCTAAAAGGTAAATACTATGCAGAGACATCCTTGCTTGATGCTCAAGCCCCACTTGCTTCTTCACACGGATGGAAAAGGATCTTAACGGGGCGGAATGTACTGATAAAGAATCTCGGCAGATTTATAGGAGATGGCAAATCCACACACCTATGGTTTGACCCCTGGTTATCTCTACACAATCCCCAGTGCCCCACGGGTCCAGAACCCGAGTTTGCAAAGGATTGGTTAGTCGCTGATCTCATTATAGAAGAAACAAAAAACTGGGATGCTACAAAGATCAACTTACTTCTTCATGAACTAGCTCAGACTATTCTCTGATTGCGCCCGAGTACAAAAGGAGCCCCAGACAAGCTTGAATGGCTAGGAAACGATTCCGGAACTTATACCACTAAGTCAGATTATCAAACTAGCTATACAGCAAAGTACCCTCTTCATTTAACCAACCAGAAAACAACTCTGTTTCCCTGGATAGCTGAGGTCTGGAAAGGAAATTTTGCGCCAAAAATCAAAATTTTTATTTGGAAGATTCTTCAAAAAGCTTTGCCAATTGGAGAACAGCTACGTATAAGAGGAATATCCAGCGCAGAAAATTGTATAAGATGTGAAGAAATGGAGACTACTTACCATGTGTTTCTTCACTACCGATATACACAAGAGTTTTGGAGATCTTTCCCTTTCGCCGAGGATATAAACTCTTTGGAATACCCTGATTTCGCAACGGCGCTCTTAAGATCAAAATACTGGAGATGCCTCCCTCCCGTTGGACTCGAAGCAGGAACCATCTTCCCATGGATACTGTGGTCGATCTAGATCTCCCGAAACTATTTAATCTTTGAGAAAAGAATCTTCACGGCGGGGGAGACAATCACAAAAGCCCTTCACGATGCCAAGGAATGGCAGCTAGCCCAGAAAAAAAGAGGATCGATGTAGCCCAAACAAGATAAATCATCGCTTCACCTCCCAACACAGATGAGATCTCATGTAATACGGATGCGGCTTGGAGTGTAGATCGACATCTTGCAGGCCTTGGCTGGATTTTCAGAACGCAAGAGGGCACGATCATAGCATAGGATTCGCAGGTCACCGTTTCAGTAGCCTTCCCTTTATTGGAGGAAGCACTGGCAATCTTCTACGCTTTGCTGGAAGCTTTACAAGAAGGTTGAAAAAATTCAGAATCTACTCTGATTCTCAGGTCCTTATCAGAGCCCTTAATTCCGACATGCACCAGAAGAAGACCTACGGAGTGGTATTCGACATCAAACATCTCTCAATCTCCTTCGATATCATTTCGTTTCAGTTTGTCCCAAGAACGCTAAATGTACGGGCTGATGTTTTGGCAAAACAGGCCTTACAAAATTATTGTATCAGTTTGGACCCTGCGGCCTCCTATAATATATCCAGTTCCAAATATATATATATATATATATATATGTTAGTTAAATTAAATTTAAAACATCATGTATCAGATGATAAGAATACAATAGCGAAGCAAATAAAAGGACATGAAGTATGCTTTTTCACTCTTTCTTTAATTTTTAGTACTCAGGCTTATTTGAAAACAGAATCACAGAGCAGAGAGTTCGACTACTTGAGTGGAAGGTCGATACGCAACGAACATGCCATCAGTTGCAAAGGAGCCTGGATTTAAACATGTTGTTCCTCCAAATTTCCAAACCTTTTGCTCACTTTTGTCACCTAATACAATCTGTTTCAATACAACAACAACAATCATTAGTTTTAACGCGTGCAGACGAAATTCGAACTATAAATAGAAGATTTAAGAGTTATACCGTATGAGGAGTTGGGTATAGATGAAGAGAATGATCATAGTTCCATATGATGGGTTGCACCATGAGAGGCAGAGGACATAGATGACTCTGATGAGTTATTGTGTAGACAAGCTGAAACCAAAACATTTTTCAGAAGTTTCAGATTATAAAATCAAAAGTTGGAAAAACAATGGAGATGAGAGATGTGCTTACGTGCTTAAATGGATCATCAGTTTCTTCTGAGGAAGGCGCTATTAAGCATGAACGACGCATCTGGTACAGAAGGTCTTTTCGGAAGAACACAATCTCTTGGTTGTAGAACTTTACTCTGCATTTTCACAAAGACAAGATCATTGCTACAGCTTTTGTGTTTCGTTCCATCTCAATAAATCAAATGTTCCTCATAATTCAGACTAAGTGCAGAAAACTCACCTGCAAGGATTGCTTGCAAATATCGCGTTGGGAATCAAGTCTTGAAGCTCTTTGGTTAAATAGTTTGGTAAACCGCATCTAGGCAAGACTGTCGAGGGACCTGTTAAGATATAATGAGTTTTTATTACATTAATGATGTCTCCACAAACCAATACAAATCAGTATGAATCTAGGATTATCAAGAACAAGAGCAAGAGGAAGAGGAAGCTAGATTTTCTCTTGATAGTGATGGAGATGGTACCTGCGTCATCAGGACCTGGAATGAATAAAAACTGACTATTCTCTTTTAGCCGTGGATGGTCAACAATCATTCTCCCAAGTTTACCAAACTGTTGTCTGAAAAATGAAATGGATACAATGTCATATAAGAACAGATCTTCGATTACAATTGAGGAAATTCTTTAACAACAATGACCCCTTACCTAAGGCTTGAATAAGAACCAAACGATAAGTTGCATGGGCGAGAACAAAAGTTTCCCATGAATACAAACAAAGACGGCACTATCTCCACACTTTCAAAACCATCAAGAACCTTTTCCAGCTTCTCAAGAACCTGACAATGCAATTTTGCGATCAAGCAATGCTCTCTGAGCACAAAAGGAGGCATAATCACAAAAATTGATCCAGCTTACCGCTTCATCATCAAGCCATATGTCAGACAATATGACAAATGTGTCGTTCACAACTTGTTTTTCGATGTCAGCAAGTTTAGTCTGTGAACAGAAGCAAAATAAGATAATTATTTCTGCTGTTACTCACGTATGCAAGGCAACAAACTGATAAGTTTACAACTTTCTCTGTCGAAAAGTACAAACAACGACTCAGGGATTACCATCTCTTCTTTGGTTGGCGTGCCACCTCCGAAGAAGTCATATCCAGAATGTATCTTCAGTGTTTTCTCCCTGTCTTCTAAAGGAGGAAACCCACATGTAATCACCTTTACCAAAACATAAGATAAAGCTTTTAAAAGAGGAAGTAAGTCAAAGAAGTCAAAGAATGTATCGCGACAGGCCATCATTACGCTGATGAGAAAATACATTTTTTTATATTCCACTGAATCTACTCAAAATGCTTTTGGAGACTTGTGTTTGTATTATTTCTCAGAGACAAACACCCAACTTAGCTCTATATTCCCACCTATAACTAACATCTTGATCTCAAGATGAACCATAGATTAAAATCATAGAACCAAAGCATATTATAGTAGATGTGCCACCTAGCAGCTCTAAGTTACCTGAAAGATACCATTCTTCATTTCACCTTCAGCCAAAATTATAGTATTCTCTGTGAAAAATCCTGTGGTTATCTTGTACTGATTGTCAAAGAAAATTACTCATAGCACAAATAACTCAAACTCAATTATTTCCTAATGTGTGAAATTGTAATAATTCTGTGGAAATGCAATGTTACCAACTTCACAAAAAAGGATATTGCTTTGGACAAATCAATCTCTACAGAAGCTGAAAGGTCTTCAAGATAGAAATGCCCATCTTCCAACTGTGATATCACGCCCATCACCCATTTCCTTCCAATTTGAACTATTAGAGACTGGATTGGAGATATCTACATGCAACAAACAAACTCCTCAGATTCAAAGATCTAACACAAGAACACAGACGAAAAACGGGAGCAGGAGACTAAAATCTAACCTCATTGTTCTCAAACTGCGACATCTCGGCATCAAACGCTGGCCTAGAGAAATGATCCGCGCGAGATACTCTCTGTGACAGCAACATGAATCGTTCCCTGTATAATGCTGTTTTTGCAGAAGCATCACCATGAACAGGGAGACTACTGGTATGCCTGGAATCAAACATCATATCAATTATATCCCAACTCAGTGACGCATTCTCAGTAACACACTCACTAATTCATCAAAATCATCTTTACAAACCCACTGACACAGTCTCAGTAACACAATTACTAATTCATCAAACTCATCTCTACAACTTCACTAAAACAGTCTCAGTAACGCTTTTGACGATGAAATTTTAACTAAAGTACAAGAAGGCCTTACTCGATGAACTGCTTCTTAACAGCATCGTATCGATACTTCGGAACCAGAAATGCGTCGATTACGGCGAAGGAAGAACCACTCGTGGAAGATTGAGATTCCTCCGCCGCGTCGTTAGCTCCGAGCAAGAGATTAATCACTTGCTGAACTGATTCTGCATCGACGATGGAGGAATTAACTGCGACATTTTCCACAAAACCCAAACTATATGAGAATCGATTAAACAGAGGGAGCAATATAAATAATCAGTCAATCAGGGGCGTACGAGTTTCCTGCTGAAGTTGATCGAGAAGAAGATCGATAGCTTCTCCTTCAGAGTCGTCGGGGAATTGGTCAGTGAAGACTAGGATGCTGTTTAGGGCATCGAGCGTGAGGTTGTACCCTCTGATTTTGAATTTCTTCTGTATCTTCTTCCTCATACTCATTTCTCGCTATCTTCTTCCTTTAGCTTTCTTCGAATCCAAACACGCTCTCTCTCTTTCTCTGAATCTGTGAAACCTTTTCGAAAAACCTCAAATCGGAGGGAAAACGATTACCCTATTCGTTACCCCTAATCGGTGAAATCTTTTGGTTTTGCTTTTGCTATGCTGATACTTTATTTAAAGTGTTGCCCCTCCATAGACAAGGAAGCTAATTAAACCGGGTTGGGGTTAGACCTTTGATCATATCATAAATAACCGATTCAAATTTCATTTCCGGTTTACGATTTAAAAACACACCAAATAAATTTATCACACTCTAATATTTACCGTAGTGAATTGTTATGCATGAACATACATGATGTTTTGACCAATGGTCTTATTCAACAAGGGGAGATCGAAACCTTGTGATAGTCATTTACCAACTCTGTCGCTAATAATATATTTTTTCTTCAAAAGTCATCATTTTATAAAAGCTGATAGATTTAAGCAAATAAATTTTGGCAACATACTTTTTAGCCGATTTGCGATGATTTTCGGTATCATTTTATATAATAAGATATTAAGATTGTGCTTTGTGCATCACAATATCAGACTGTAATCTTTCAAAATAGATTCGCATTTGTTTTTACCCTTTTTTTCGTAAATTTTGTAAGTGTATTTGTGATAGAGTTTTGACTCCAGATAAAAAGAACAATAGTTGTTGTCATCTAAGGAGTTGAGAAGAGATTGGCAAAGGAAAGTCAATTCACGACATAAGGTGACAATGAAATAAAAGAAACGAATCACGAAATGAAGAAGATGACGGAGACAAAGGAAAAAAAGGAAAGAAAGGAAAAGGACAACATAAAAGGTAAAGAGAAAACTGGTCTTTAAAGGAAAAGAAAAAGTGGTCGTTTGAGGTTTATCTTGTTAGTTAGATATATAAAGGAAGAAGCGATGATATGAAGAGGTACGCGCATTGTCGAGAGATGTATACTTGTGTGTGCAGTGTAGTCCCACCATATTAGATTTGTAGATTTATTGTTAGTGTTGTCTATAGATTCTGCAGCCGTTGAGAAGACGGTAATGCACCGATGCTACCGGGTGTAGTCAAACGTGCAGGCTTAATACTGTTTTCATAGTTAATCCATCTAGTAAAGAATGGTAAAAATTGTAGTGTTAGATACCATACACAACTATAATTACAACCGTGTTCTAGTGTATTTGTTTTGGACTAGTTTTTTATGTTGGAATTTAAATTTTGACAATTATAGATTCTTTGATTTTTTTTGTAATGAGCATTATTAATAGTGTAATTACTTGTCAAAATCAAAATTAATTTGAATAAAAAATTAATTATCAAAGTGGATATATAACCTAAATTAAAAGTCAAGATTTGCATTTGTCACACATTGGAAGTATAAGGACTATTATGCAAAACTACAAAAGCTTTTAAGAAGCAATAAATATTTCTTGACCTATTTTAATAAAATTGTCAGGATTTTATTAATAATTTTGCATAATATCGATGAATATTTATTGATTGAATCGGATTATTTTACGTAATATTTCTGTTTCTATTATCTTTGTTAAATAAGGAATTAAGAGCTTCAGAATATTTATGTTTCCTCTGTCAAATAAAAAATTAAACTTTTTGGAATAATTCTGTTTTTTTTTTAACTTTGTTAAACAAAGAACAAAGATTTTTGAAATATTTCTATTTATCTTTCATAAGTAATAAGGCAAATGCCTTGTACCACACGCCTCTCTTACTCTATAAATAAGGATCTCTTTCATTCATTATTCTTCACAAAAAAAAAAAACAATAAGCTTTCAAAACACAAACTTCTAGCAAATCTCTCTCGTCTTGAAAGTAAGTTTTAGAGTAAGTCTCGAGAGTATAGCGTAAATTCTAAATTTGCAAATTCTATTATCAAGTGCTACGGTTTTAGTCTCAATGTATCTTGAGATTCTAGATCTCTTCAAATCGCCACACTGCGGGAGATTTAAAAAATTAAGAAAAGAGATCATATCTCACCTCTCTGTATCATTTTTCCCTTACTGTTTTATTAATCGTTTTATCATACTTCTGTCGATTTCAATCGTTTCAGATTCGTAATTTTCAGTCTGAAATTTTGCGGTCATACTATCTTAATTTTTTAACTCCGCTTCCTGCTAATCACTTGAATTAGATTAAATATTGTAAACAATATTTCTAAAACGATTTTAAAATTTTTTTATTAGCGATCTACAAAGATTCTTGATAACAGAGTTTTGTGTGTAAATCATCAAATCCTAACACACTCATGTCATTGCAGTATGAAATGTGTCAATCCATATGGGCATGTAAGTCACTAAGAATGCAACAGTTCACTTAAGTTAAGCCAAATTCAAGAAAACAGGCGTGATCAAGCTAAGCAATACTAAGCAGTGCAAATTCAAAGCAGGAAATTCAAATAGATTAAAGCAGGGATCTAAGATGGGGGTTATTGACGAAGAGGGGATTAGAACCAATGTGATGCTTCAAAACCATTCAAACAATGCTATCTTCTAAGCATATGATTAACAGCTATAATCAGACCAATTTTTGGCACTAATCACTTTACTAAACACAAGTCCTAGACAATTTCCATTACTTGAACATATGATTAGCAAGCATTCAAACAGAAAGCCAATCCTATAAAACTAAAATGTTTCTTAGACATCTAATCCCTTAGGCTAAGTAAACAAATCATTTAAAAGACTCATTGCAGTATTTCATCAAACACTTATCAGGCATAAGAGAAAGTCAAGATACTAAACAAGCCTGGCCAAGACTAATCTAGTGTTAAGCATATCTAATAGAGAGAAGATAATCTGATTAAACATAAGACATCTCTAATCCTAAAACCCCTCTAATATATCCCATCTCAAACCCTAAATAAGACTACTCACTAGTAATAGTCAAAACCATAGATTCCAAAGAGAAATAATGGTTAAGCATGATTAGAAAGCAGAATATGCAAGAATAGATGAAAGGAAAATGCAGAAATTCACTAAATCAAACTAGTTCTTACAAAGCAAAACTGAAAAAGGAAAGGTTTTAATGCTAGAACAGTAGAGAAAAATAATAAGATAACCGTTGCCTAAACATTTTAGGACTTTAGTATTTATAGGAAGGCTTAGAAACTCATAATAAACCAAGAATAAACCGAATTAAGGCTAACTCGGCTGGACCATATCAGCTTCTCATATCGATACATGCATCAATATTGGCTCTTCTGGTGGTTGTATCGACATGGTCTTAATGAATATGGTGATTGATACACAAGGCTTTAAAGGTGTATCGGCTTGACTCTCCTCTGTATAGAAATCGATGCAATCACCCTTTTCCTAAGGCATATGGAGCAGAATCATGTCGATATGCTTCTTCGATATCGCCCTGTCTCTGGTGTATCGACTTGGGTGATCGATACACTGATCAGTATGAATCCATCATGGTGTATCGAGGTCTCCTTGGTCGATATGCTGCTCTGTACACCATGCTCCTTCTGTATCGATGTGAAGTCATCGATATTCAGTCCAATACACTTCCATATCGATCATATCACATCGATATCCTGCTCGATATTGGTCCATCCGACCTTGTCCCACTCCTTTCTCCATTCCCAGCTCACATCCATTGCACCGCTTGGTCTCCAAACTCCTTCTAGTACCTGAATAAAACTCCAAATGCATGCAAAATGCCATGCAACTCCTAAAAGTATACTAACTCCTAAATGTATGCAAATGGGACAAGAAAAAGTAAAATATACATGTTAAAAGACTAAAACTAGTGATGAATGCATGCTAAAATGGTATAGATAATGGACATATCAATTCTGCGAATGTTTTATAGCTTACTGTAAAATGTTTGATCTTAAAAACAGACGATTATCGAAAAGACAGAAATACGATTTCCGCACCAGCCCTAGGCAGGATTGCAAAACATTTGTTTTAAAATAATTCGTAGGATCTAATAAATAGTATTTAAGAACACTTATAAGTGATTTATGGGAACGGCTATTAGCATTTAAGAATGCCTTTAGGCGATTTCTATGAACATGTATTACCAAATTAAACGTTTCAATCACTTACTCGGATTGAGTTCTAATAAACTGAATTCGTTTGTCTTTTTTTGTGAATAAATTCAGAATGTCTATTGGTGATGATGACAATATAACAGCAATGACACTAGTGAGATTAGAACCCTAGTTGAGCCGACTTCAAGAGGTATATCTTTTTACAAGCAGAAGCCTCTAACATTGGCAAACTTAACTTAACATTGGCAAAGTTGCAGGAATCTGGGTTACCCTATAATCTGGGGAGGGGGGAGGGGGAACGCTGCTCACTACAAACTATATCCTTAACAAAATTCCACATAAAATAACTGGCAAAACACCATATAAACTTTGGAAAGGTTCTGTACCTTCATACAAATACCTCAAAGTGTGGGGGTGCTTAACAAAAGTGGCAGTGCCACCTCCTAAGAAGTTAACAATTGGACATAAAATGGAAAATTGTATCTTCATTGGATATGCACACAACAATAGTACTTATCGATTCTTGATACATAAGTCAGATGTACCGTATATCTATGTAAACACGATAATGGAATCAATGAATGTATCTTTCTTTGAAAACATCTTTCCGTGTGAAGATAAACAAAGTAAGAAATGCACTCATGGTGAAAGAGACACAAGCATCTCGATTCACTTCCGGAATTTCAGTTAAAGAAGCAGAGATAGAACGTAGATGAAGCAAAGAGCTCGTAAGGAAAAATCTTTTGGTGATGATTTTATAGTGATATTTCTCGCAGAGATTGAGCCAAGATCATTCACGGAAGCCATGTCCACACTTGACACATCTTCTTGAAAGAAGCAGTCAATAGTGAAATGGATTCTATTACGCAGAGTCATACCTATAAGATCAGTGATTTACCTCAAATTTTTAAGGCGCTAGGGTGTAGATGGCTCTTCAAAACAAAGTTGAAAACCGATGGTTCAATTGAGAAGTACAAGGCCAGGTTTGTGGTTCAAGAATTCAGACAAAAAGAAGGTCTAGATTTCTCCGACACCTATTCTCCTATGACGAGAATAACTTTAATAAGAACACTGATAGGAATAACAGCCTTAAGAGGTCTCAAAATCCATCAGATGGATGTAAAAACCGTCTTCCTAAATAGTGATTTAGAAGAGGAAATTTACATGAAACA